GTTCCGGTAGTCCCGGTTGCAGTTGTTAGGCAAGGACCTCACGCTTCTCCTTCTACAAGGGAGAAAATCCATCCTTCTACAAAAAAGACTTCTGTGAGAATGCAAATCTTCTGACCATCTTTCTCCCCTTTGAGAAGTTCAAGTGACTTGTTCAGGTTTGAGCGGAGAACATGACAAGCAATGTGTGGGGTTCTCTGGATCCTTCAAACTCCATGAGTTTTCTCCTTTCGTTTCTCTCAAACATCTCAATATGTTAACACCACTCATCAGTCACATTTTGTTATTTATTTTGCCATTGCATGAAGCTACACTCAGAGCAACGTCCCACAGTCCAATCAATAACCACAAAACCACTGAAAAAATATGTTTTAGAATATGTTTTCTGAGAGTAACACAGAAACTAACAGCATGATGAGACCAATCTTCTCATTGTGATTTGGAGGGAGGCCATCAATTCCATCCCATTTCCCCAAAGTAATTTGATGTTTGACCAAGATCCCTTCAAAGACTAATAAATCTATTTTAGCCTTAACGTTTCTGTGTGAGGTCCTGCTTTATCAGAATCTGAAATGACATACACTCTACATATACTCTAAGTATTTAACAAAAAAAGGAGGGGGGGGAAAGAAGTAGCAAATTCTCATAAGATCTCTCCTTCAAGAATCCTTGTGAATAATTTAAGTGTTTGTAAAAGAATGAACTCCCCACCCAGAGTGAGTAGACATTTCTCTTTCCCTCCTGGGATCCAGAGTTTTGGTCCTGCTTGGGAAGAAGGGTTCAAACAGTCCTATCCTCTCCTTAGTTTGTATATCAGCCCTTCTAGGTAGACGAGACTAGAAAACCAAAGTCATACACGCTAATGCTACTTTGACTATCAGGTTATAGTTACAGAATCTTGAAAGTCTGAATGTTCTTCCCCCTCCCTTCCTTTATCTTCATGAGAACTAGGAAGGGTCAAGCCTGCTCTTCCTCTTGTTCCTTCAGGTTATTCCTTCTTCCCATTACCTTGTCCTATAAAACAGACCAGAAATCAAGTGTGGGGGTGGATGTGGTGAAAAAGGAGTCAAGCCAGAAAAAGCAGAGAAGTGGGGAGGGGGACAAAAACCTCCAAGCCAAAGGCAAGCAACTCAGCAGTGGCCTACAGACAGTGGAAGAAAAGTGCAAGATTTGGAGCTGCAAGATCAGTTGAGAGGTAGGAGGAAAAGACCCTGACCAGAATCTGCAAAAGACCCAAAAGAAGCCCACTGTGTGCAGCACCCCAGGGGCAGAGCCCCACAAACCAGCTCCAGGACTCTGAGGGTTGGGGGGAGAGAAAACCTGCATTTATTTGCCAGTCTGTAGAGGAGTGAGAAGGGCTTTCAAATGCAGATGGTCTGAGCTTGGCTCCAACACTTGAGAAAAAGCTTAACAAATAGTTAAGAAAACAGTGCTACAAACATATTGATAGGAACATAGAGATAGAAGGTTGATATAAACATTCCTAGATTAATTAAAATAGAAAATCCTTGCAAATGTAAAGTAATAGGAAGACTCTAGATTAAAATACTGTAGGTAGGAAAATTGAAACAAGCATGCTGATTGGAAGTAAGGAATAGGAGTTTGATTTTGTATGATAAAACAGCTCAAAACAAATCCAGTCTTTGTGTCTGTGATCTGTACCAGATTAAGAAAACCCCCAACAGCATGAATTGGGCAATAAGAAATGTTTTAAGTGGTTACCTGGTAAGAGGATGACTTTATCTGGTTAGATCAAGGGATTGACAACAGGGTGACTGATTCCTTTTTCCTTAGTAACCTGATGCTTTCTTGACCAAACGGGGTGTGTGTTTGTGTGCGTGTGTGTGTGTGTGTGAGAGAGAGAGAGCGCGAATGGGGTGTGTCTTTATTCTAATGCTCCCTGTTATTGAGTAAGGTCCTCTTTTTTCTCCATCCTAACTGGGAAGGGTCACAGCAATCCCCTCACCTTCTCTTCACACCAAGGGCTCAAATTCTGGACTTGCAGAAAAGTCCTTCTAGATCTTGCTACTTTCCTAATAGAACAGCAACTATATCATAGTAGATGTCACATCCCCATATCTTGAGAAGGCAACAGGTGAGCGGGCAGCACAGGACCTCCATGATAACATTCCCAGGTAGCATGAGAAACCATCGGAGTTGAATTCCACCCACAGAGGGAAGCTGACGGAGTCCGTCATACCAGTTTTCCATGACAGGGCACCCTCCAGATGGGGTGATATAAATTCCCAGACATCCCCAATCATGGTGGGCATGGTGGAGAATTCAAGAAGGTGAAGTCCACCTGTTTGGAAGACTCCCAGGTGTGGAAGGTTGGACTGAAAGGTCTGACCCAACAGGGATCTTCTATGATTATTTCATTTCATTTGCTCATTGCGCATTATGTGCATTAAAAAGGGCAGGGCTTCAACCTGACTTTTTACATTCCCCCCCTCCATGTGCAGGGCACAGCAGACATGTACACACAGGGAGAGCTTGTCTTATGACCTCATGAGGCATATTTTTGCCCTTTACATGAATTCCCAGCTTGCCAAGATGGCTTTGCATTGTGTGTGTGGGAAGGGGCTGCCAATATTGCCCCCAAGGTGTTTTTCTACTTGTAAAACGAAAGCTGTTGGTTGGTTTGTTAGGGATCTGGGAGTGGACGACAGCCAGAAGGCTACTTTTTTTTGGTCATAGCCTTCAGCTCACAAACCTTTTGCGTGACATGCCATCTGCTTAAACATAAGGAGCTGGAGAGAAAGCAAGGATTCCTGATGGGTTGCCTTTACTTAAAAAAAAAAAAAGGAATCCATTGAGAAAAATGGTTTACTGACAGTAAAGAATGCTATTCAATGAACATTAATCTTCTGCAAATCCAGAGTTTGTAACAGCAGTTTTTCAGAAGGCTTTTTCTCTCTCTTGTCCTGTGATTGACCTGCATTAACCTCTGGAAGAGAGGCTGCTTGGACAAGATAGTTCTTCCTATTAAACTCTTGCCAGCTGTGAGATAACAAACTTTTTGATCTAACCCCAATCAGATAATTCTTTCCTCTTCTGCAATAGCAGGTGCCCAGTGCCTGCTGGACACTTAATCCTCATTAATGTCTAACCTTCCTTTGCTGATGCCTAAACAGAGCAGCTCTGGGTGTGGAAGAGAAAAGAGAAGTTGCAGCACTATAAAACTTGCCCAATGGAGGCAACCCCTCAGTGAGTCGAATTCTGGAGACCACCCTCACCCCTTTTGAGAAAGAGCCCCTGGTGCTGTAAGTAATTAATGGGGAGAATTTAAATAAACATCATGCTGTTTGTTTTGGTCCTGGCACCTCTTTTAATGTCCTCCTGCTTCGGTATAGGTCCTGCAAATTCTAACTTATGGAGTCCTTGGTGCTCTCTGAGCTTGGTTGTTTGGTTCATGACCCAACTAGGTAACATCATCCATGCATCATCAGGGCATGTTATCAAGTTGGGTCATCAAACGTCTGCAGGGAAACCACCAAGCTCAGAGAGCACCAAGGACTCCACAGTACGACCCTGAGCTACAGAGATTCTCTTCTACTGGACATTCTAAATTAGTCAGCAATACAAGAATTTCAGAAAACAAGGTCTTAGGCACTTCTTGAAGGAAGTGGGTGGGAAACATGTATTCCAGAATGGTGTCTTTCAACTCAGTTAATGTCCTTATGTGCTGCAAGAGGTGACTGAGTCAGCAACCAGCTGGGTCTAGCAGTAAAATGGGGCTATTGATTTTTCCTGGGGCACCTAGTTTTGAGGCATTGCCTAATGTAATGTTTTATTTTCCAAAGGGGTTTCAGGCTGCAAGGTTGGGGATATCCCTTAGAGCTGTGTTTTTCAACCTTGGCAACTTTTAAGATGCTGGCTGGGGAATTCTGGGCGTTGAAGTCCAGACGTGATAAAGTTGCTGAGGTTGAGAAACACTGTCCTAGAGTCAGAATACAGGATCTGGCATCTCCTATAACCTCCTCCTGCTTCGCTACCCATCCTGCAAATTCTAAATTAGCCAGCAATACAAGAATTTCAGAAAACACCCTTTGGCTGGGAATGATGGGGTATATAAAGGTACTTGAGCGGTGTAAGGCGACTTCCTATATTCTTCTCAATTCCAGGTTCCAGAGCCTCCATTTAAGGGCAAACGCTGCCATCCTTTAGGGCAGAGTTCCTCAACCTTGGCAACTTTGAGACGGGTGGACTTCAACTCCCCTCAACCCCCGCCGACCTAGCCGGAGGCAAGGAATCATGGGAGTGG